TCTTCCAAACGACAGGATGTTCCCCCAAATTGGTTGTTAAAGTGTGAAATGTATTTTAATGAACCCGACCTTTATAATTCAAAGTGTGTGTATGGATTTTGGGGGACACCCTCTACTTAGCCTTTTACATTCACACAGCACTGTCGATCCTTGAATAAGACCTGTCTTTTAAAATGGTCACCATTCTGGTGGGTGCATGACAGTATCTCACTGAGGTTTTAATTTGCATTTCCATACGGACTGATGATGTTGAGCAACTTTGTGAAATATCTGAAACTGTAAAGTGAAATCTGCCTGTAAGGATTACTGTGTGATGACTATTAAAATAACACTGTATTTCAGATCTGCCCAGCAACCTCTAAGGCAATCAGATGATCTTTAGAAGCATCCGCCATTTTCATGATCCTGGTAAAAGAGTGCCTGTTTCTGCCTCTGTCTTTCACCAGCAGTTCTACATCCATGAGTCATGCAGGTGACTCATGCCTGCAGGGGCGGACTACATTCTCCCTCTGCTGTCTGGCAGTCTTTCTCTCTTAGAAATATCCTCCCAGCACAGAAAAAAAGAAAAAAAGTGATACAAACTAATTGTTCCACACGGTGCAATATAGAAACCCACACCTGAGACCTATATTGACCATATTGACCAATGTGATCCCAATAAATTTAATTTTAAAAGGTTTTAGCCCTAGCTGGTTTGGCTCAGTGGATAGAGCATCGGCCTGTGGACTGAAGGGTCCCAGGTTCAATTCGGGTCAAGGGCATATAGTACTTTGGTTGAGGGCAAATCCCCAGTAGGGGGTGTGCAGGAGGCAGCAGATTGATGTTTCTCTCCCATTGATGTTTCTCTTCCTCTCTGTTAAAAAAAAAAAAAATCAATGAAATATATATATATATATATATATATATATATATATATATATTTTTTTTTTTTTTTAAGTTTTTAATTTAAAAGTTTTTACTTTTAAAAAAATGCTCAAAGAAACCTTGGTGAGTTCAGTTGACTGTTCAAGGTCCAAATACAGAACTGGGGAAACGTTAGTAGAGTCTGTGGAATTAGCATGACGATTGTGCACAAGAAGCAGCGAGGAGGACATGTGGCCACGGTTGGTGGCATTCCCAGGGAGCTGATCTGGCCAGGGCAGAGGCAGGAGGCGGCTGGGGAGGGCCTGGGCTCACTGCTGGGAAGGCGGCATTTGGGGGACTGACTCTTTCTGCGGAGACATTTTCTCCGTACGTAAAGGCATGAGATGAGTTCAATGGTGAGAGAATCATTGATCGGCTGCCTCCTGCACGACCCCCACTGGGGATTGAATCCACAACCCGCCATGTGCCCTTGACCAGAATCGAACCTGGGACCCTTGAGTCTGCAGGCCTAGATGCTCTATCCACTGAGCCAAACCAGCTAGGGCCGAAGCTTTTTTTTTTTTTTTTTTTTTTTTTTTTTTTTTTTTCCTGGTTCTTTTTGTAAATGAGTGGGACTGGCGGTGTGACAACAGGATGGGGGGAGGGCGTGGAGAATGGGAGGGTGTGCGGTGCCCTAAGGAGGCGGCCACTGCTCAGGCCTGCGGGGGGCTCCACACGGGAACACAGGCAGGCATAGCCAGAGGTCAGACTTTTAAGAGAAATTCCAGTCTATAGAGCGCATGCTACGGGGAAACAAAGGCTTTCAAAGCACAGTTCTCTCTCTCCGTGGTGTTTTTGTAGGATGGACATAAGCCTCCTGACCCTTCACAAAGGCTAGACGATGTGGCTAATTTTATAAAAACAACCTTTAATACAGCGAAGTTTTGCAAGCCTGGGGAGTGACTTCTTTTGAAGTAAATAGATATTAATCAGTTAATGTTTTGGCAAACCACTTAGGAGTGTCAAACCTAAAAGTTTATTTTTAACTCTTTTCTGACCCTTTTGGGGCCAAGTGGTTGTTAGAATTATACCGGTTAGCCAGTCTTTTAAAAGGTGTGCACACAACGGGGAAAATGCACTCTGTTCCTTCAGTGCAGAGGTGACATTAAGCGTGAGTGAAAGGAAGTGTTGGATGGAAAGAAACTCCTGCTATGAAGAGACGTTCGGGATTGCTTCTCTCAGCGTGTGGTTTTTCTTGCTCAAATTGTTACCTTAAAAACCCCTCCCAAAAACAAACATTTATACGTTTAAAAATTTCCAAGAAGCCTGGCCAGTGTGGCTCGGTGGTTGAGCATCAACCTATGAACCAAGCAGTCACGGTTTGATTCCTGACCAGGACACAGGCCCAGGTTGTGGAGCATGCAAGAGGCAGCCGATCAATGATTCTCTCTCATATTGATGTTTCTATCTCTCTTTCTCTCTCTCCTCCTCTCTCTTAAAAATCAATAAAAAAAATTTTTTTTTAAATCTTCCAAGAAGATTCAGTGCATTTTTAAAAATTCTTAGGCTAAAACATAAATATATTATACAGTCAAATTAAAACACAAAATGAAACATCTCCCAGTTGGTTAAAAAAAAATCAACAAATCAGGGAAGGTAGAATTTACTTATCAAATTTCAACAAAAACTTTTGCAAAATCGGTGGATGAAAACAAATATGTAAGGGCAGAGTGTGTTTCATTTGAGTCTCTCTGTGAGATAGCTTAAATATTACTGAAGAGCAAAGGCTTGTGAAACTATTAACAAAAATTACATTGACAGTGGCTATGAGATATTTACATTACCCTTTCAAACCTGTAGAGTGCGCGTATTTATAATGTGCACGGCGTGTTAGGTGGATCACATGGAACTGGCACTTTGGAGGTCAGACAGCTGAGCATCAGCGGTTCCAGACGGTTCAACGTAAGGTGTAGCTACAGTGAATGCATACATGTTAGGGTGACGATGAGGCTTCAGGATCAAACGTGCGGAGCTTGTGCAGGTGTGGGCCTGTGTGTAGCCAACCCAGCGAACCACAAAACCAGGACAGTGGGCGAGCCCCTAGCTTACCATCCCCCTTACAAACACTAGATTCCCAGACACGTCACTGCCCATTCTACAGGGCCTGTTTTCTGTATTTGCTCCAGACTGGCCAAGCTCAACCAGTAAGTCATTTAAGGAAAGTGTACCACGCCACACATTTACAACTGTGGTGCCATCAGCATACAGACTACATTTGGTTTCTTTTCTTTTTTTAATAATTTTTTAAAGAGAATGGCTTTGTTCTTTTTAAAATATATTTTTTTATTGATTTCAGAGAGGAAGGAGAGGGAGAGAGAGAAACAGCAATGATGAAAGAGAATCATTGTCCGGCAACCTCCTGCACGCCACCTAGTGGGTTCAAGGTGGCAACCCAGGCACCTGCTTTTAACAGGAATCGAACCAGTCCACAGGCTGACGCTCTCTACTCACTGAGCCACACCGGCTAGAGCTAGATTTGGTTTCTTAACCGTCAACTGGTGAATGGCCAGATCTTTTTTCTCAGTAAAACTGATGTATGAAGACAACAGAACAAAGGCAAATGTGATCACTTCAGCCTCACCCCAAGCTTCACACGAGAGTAAGAATAGGCTTCTAGAAAGTTTCTGTTAGAAGCCAACAACATAGGCCATCTTGAATCTTATTTTAAATAAACCCAGGTAAAATTGCTTTTGAGTTTTTATTTTAAACAAGTAAAAGAATAAAATAAAATACATATTTTTAAAAGATTAGAAAAAAACAAAAATAACAATTTTTTTAAAAGAAAAAAGTAAATTTTAAAAGATAGAGCAATAAAAACAGTCGATGGTGGCCCCCTTTGGACAAGAAAGTGGGGACCAGTGAGGGTGACTTTTACTTTGCAATGAACATTTTTCCGTGCTGCTTGGATTGTTAAGATATTTGCATGTATTCCTTCTATTTTTTAATATAATAGATTTGAGCATTGACATTATAGACCATTTTCTTTCTTTTTTTAACACTTTTTCTGCATTCTTAAAAACAATAATTTATCATTTAAAGAGTTAAATATAAAAAAACCTCCTGATAGACTTTTAAAACCTTGAATGTAGGAACTAATTAAATCTAAAAATGCCTTAAATAAAAACAATGATTATCAAACATTTTTTTCTTTCAAAATAGTTACTTCAGGTAGGAACTGATTAGATGTACTGCATATAGGCAGAAAACCACATGTAACATATGATAGTTCAGTAAAACACCTTGAGGAACGTATTCATTTGGTCAAATATAAAAAAATGAAAGTAATTTTACATTCAACATTTTGATTCATAGCTGCGTTATTCTATTCAAGTAACAAGCCCAAAGCAGCCCCCAGCTCAGGGCTAACACTCTTCTCAATTCGTACACATAGCTCTTAAAGGACCGCCATGAAAATGTTATCCACCGCCGTCTCCTAGAAACCCATCTTCTTATCTGTTACTAGAGGCCCAGTGCATGAATTTTCATGCACTGGAGGTGCGGGTCCCTCAGCCTGGCCTGCACCCAGGAGCCCTCAGAGGTAAGAGGCCACCCGGTTATCAGGGAAGGCAATGCCCTATCACACCTCTGCTGCTGCCACTGCCAGCAGCGCAAACCTCTACCAGCCCTGATTGTCTGAGCCTCGGGCAGCCCTGGGCAGCCACCATCTGAGGCTTGACTGTGCCTCTGGCCGGCCCTGGCAGCTGGGGGGCCGAGGGGGCTGCGGGACTCTGGAGACAGGCACCCTGGTGGGGCTGAGGGGACTGGGCACCATCTTTTGGCTGTGAGTGCTGCCATCTTAGAGGGCAGGGCAGCCTATTAGTATATTCCCTCTTTATTAGATAGGATTCTTACAGGAATTATTGTTTTGTTTTCCACAAATGTTTTTTTTTAATATTTGACCACATTAACCTTTGGTCGGTATCTTCCGTACAAAAGCACAAATAGCTACCAGTACAGCGAGTCTCCGGTGAGGTGAGAGGCGTGGGTGGCTGTCGGCCTGTGTTGGAAGGTCTCCTTGGACGGCACAGTGGCCGCCGAACGTGGTCTGAAAGTCGGCCTGCCTGGTGAGAACCCGTCGACACCAACCTCCCCGGCGTTCTGAGCGCCCTGCAGAGCCGCCCCAGACGGGGAGCTGAGAGCTCTGGCCCTGGGCCTGGGCGGACTGCTGGCCAGAGACGGTCAGAGCCCGGGGCACGCGCATCCAGGCACAGCTGTCCCTGGGAGTGCGCGCCAGGCAGTCTGGGGGAGGGAGACCCCGTTATTTGGATGAGGAGCACTCAGCACCCCCCGGAGAGTCACCGTGAGGGAGCCCCCCCTTACCACCGAGCTCCCCATGTCCCCCAGATCGCGGTGCGGGATGTGTCGGCTGGTCTCTGCCTCTTCCTCCTGGGCCTCGTCCCGTGTCTCCTGGGCCTCCTGCCCCCGGCCCCCGGGCCTCCTCGGGCTCGCCGTCCTCGGAGTCGGACCCATCGTTGTAGAAGTGGAGGGTGGCCTGCACCGGGAAGCTGGCCAGGACCTTCTCCCCGGAGCCCTGCAGGTACTGCTGGCGCTTGGAGACGGGGAGGTAAAGTCTAATAATTCAGAACAAACAGCGTTAGTCCCCCTGAGCCAGGCTGGCCTCCGCCTAGAGGCCCTCCCTGGAGGCAGCCGGCTGCCCACCCCGCACCCCAGGGCATGGAGGACAGGCCGCTGAGGGAGCGGTCCGCTAGGAAAAGCGTGGCTTCCGCGGACGGAAAAGCAAAGGAAAACTGTTTTCGTTCCAGACGGAGAGGCCTGTGACCGCTCCGGAGGCCCCCTGGGCGCGGTGTGGCCCTCGGGCTCAGGAGGACCCTGACTCTGGTCCGGAGGAGAGCTCAGCGTCCGGATGCCACACAGAAGCCATAGCGGGGGAGCCATAGGGGGGGTCCCTCCCTTCTCCGGAACGGACGCTGGCAGCAGGCTGTTTGCCAGAGGAAGAGAGAAGGGGGGGAGAGGGGAAGGGAAGGGTTACCTTACAGGATGCCGAAACCCGAAGGCGCCCTTTGACCCGGAAGTCTGCTGGTCACCCCCTGGCTCCAGCTGTAAAGACAGACACACAGACACACACAGGCAAGAGGCCTCTGAAGTCGCATCCTGAAATTAAAAAACAAAACAAGCCAAAACTGGTTTGGCTCAATGGATAGAGCGTCGGCTTGGGGATTGAAGGGTCCCGGGTTCGATTCTGGTCAGGGGCATGTACCTTGGTTGCGGGCATATCCCCAGTAGGGGGTGTGCAAGAGGCAGCTGATCGATGACTCTCTCTCCCATGTTTCTGCGATGTTTCTAACTCTCTATCTCTCTCCCTTGCTCTCTGTACAAAATCAATAAAAATACATTTAAAAAAATAATAAAAAATAAAAAACAAAACAAAACACACAGCGGAGTCTGAGTGGCTGCACCTGTAGCCTCGTGGCGACGCCAGAGTCAGTGTAAAGACGAGGCGGTGCCCGCCGAGCCGCTTCCTCTGGCGGTCGTGGTGATGGCCAGGGCCCTGGAGGGATCAAAGATGGACGGTGCGTCCCACGGCCCCCCCACCCCCTAACGCCGAGGGGAGGGCCTGGGAGACGGGAGGGTGGGACCAGGAGGACAGTTCTGACACCGCCTTCCAGGACACGCCCCCCTGCAGGGCCAGCGGGGTGCCGGGAGGGAGACGGGACAGAGGCCAACAAGAGAGTAGTCTGTCGTTTATCTTCCCCAGAACGGGTGAGGGTGAGTCCACCAGGGCAGGGCCTTCTTAGAGCTTTCCCTGGGATTTCTAGAGAAAAGCACACAAGCCCTGGCGGGTGTGGCTCAGTGGATAGAGCGTCGGCCTGCGGACCGAAGGGTCCCAGGTTCGACTCTGGTCAGTGCCACATGCCTGGGTTGCGGGTCTGGTCCCCGGTGGGGGCATGCAGAAAGTGGCCAATCAGTGATTCTCCCTCATCACTGATGTTTCTATCTCTCTCCCTCACCCTACCTCTCTGGAATCCATAAAAATATTTTTTAAAATATTTTATTGATGTTTTTACAGAGAGGAAGGAAGAGGGATAGAGAGCCAGAAACACTGATGAGAGAGAAACATCGATCAGCTGCCTCCTGCACGCTCCCCACTGGGGATGTGCCCGCAACCAAGGTACATGCCCTTGACTGGAATCGAACCTGGGACCTTTCAGTCCGCAGGCCGATGCTCTATCCACTGAGCCAAATCAGTCAGGGCTCAATAAAAAATATTTTTAAAAAAGGAAAGAGGGAAAGAAGGAAGGAAGGAAGGAAGGAAGAAAGAAAAAAGAAATAAAGGAAGAAAGAAATAAAAAAGAAAAGAAAAGAGGAAAGGGAAGGGAAGGGAAGGGAAGGGAAGGGAAGGGAAGGGAAGGGAAGGAAAGGAAAGGAAAGGAAAGGAAAGGAAAGGAAAGGAAAGGAAAGGAAAGGAAAGGAAAGGAAAGGAAAGGAAAGGAAAGGAAAGGAAAGGAAAAAAATTCCTGTAGGGCCGAGGAATTCTCCTGTTTGTCAGGAGAGGGCGCTGTTGAGCAATAAGCATCCCCTTTCCGCTCTGGCCTGCTCACCTGGCTGGGCTGGGAGCAGAGCCTCACACCTGCCTCTCCCCCTGCAAAGAGCTGGCCCCAGGCGCGCTGCAGCCCCAGGGAACGCCCGCCCTCCTCTCCTGCAGAAACCCACGTGTTTTCCTCACCCACGGCCTTCTCATTGCCCCCAGGATGAAATCCACCTGCCTGCCTGCCTTCCCTCTTAGGAAGTTTGCTCTGCTATTTTTATTCTCGCAACTGATCGGCTCCATATACATTTCACTTAAAAGAAAACCGGTTTAGCTCAGTGGATAGAGCATCAGCCTGCAGACTCAAGGGTCCCAGGTTTCGATTCCAGTCAAGGGCATGTACCTTGGTTGTGGGCACATCCCCAGTAGGAGGTGTGCAGGAGGCAGCTGATCGATGTTTCTCTCTCATCGATGTTTCTAATTCTCTCTCCCCCTCCCTCTCTGTAAAAAAAAATCAATAAAATATATTTTAAAAATTTAAAAAAACTGCACCATTGTAAACTTCTGTATTATCTCTCAAGCACTTGAAGTCTTACGTTAAGTCTGAATGCAAAAGAAGGAATTCGTTTTCAATATTTAGACATTGCATGTATTGAATAATAATTTGGTCAATGGAATCGTATCTCTTGTTAATTTGATTTTTACTTGCTTTAGTCTTTACATAATAAGCAACTGCACGAAAACCCCATTCTCTACGCTAATTTAATAAGGCCATCTACGCCTGCTTCCCCACACCTGCGTTTACCCTGTCACCAACAACTGCACCGAGCCACAGGCACACGGCTGGGTCTTTCCAGCCTAATTAACGTCAGCACTCTTTTTTAAAGCCGCCCATTTCTACTTTAAACTGGAACGAGGGAAGGTGAAGTTCAAGAAAGCAGTCATGACTTCAATAAGCGTGAGGCAATTTGGCTCCCAGGCAGGAGCAAAGGAGAGTGGGGGCCGTTCCTGGGGCACAAAGCCCTCTGGTTGTGTGTTTGCTCAGACAGCCTGACTTACCCGGCTCCCAGCCTCCCGGCTCCCAGCCTCCCGACGGAGGAGAGTGCTTTCACCACCCCTCTGAGCCCTCTGCACCCTTATTTGCACTGTGGCACCGCTAATGGCTCTGGGCTTTCTCCTGAGGCCAGGGCAGGGGGCAGCTCTCCCACCTGGTATCCGCTGCAGGGAGAAGGCAGACCACAGGAGAGGGTATCAGAATGCCCAGGCGGCAGGGAGAAGGCAGACCACAGGAGAGGGTATCAGAATGCCCAGGCGGCTGAGCGGGAGGGGCCGTGCTTTCCCAGAAAGGAGAGGCCAGCGGGAGCCCCCCTCCTGGACTCAGGCTGTCAGCACCGTTCTGGGCCCACGCCAGACCCCTGGGTGCCAGGGAGGGACTGGCGGAGGGCCGTGCATGACTCCCCAGACCAGGCCACTCCCGGCTGAGCTGGTGGACGCCGACAACACCCACGCCCCTCACCTGGCTGCCCGCTCCCGTGGGCTCCGCACCTCGGGGGGCCAGGGTCCACGGTCTCCACGGCGAGGGGCTGGAGCAGAAGGCACAGGAATGAACGCTCGCATCCTGTCCGTTAGAACCTCCTAACGCCATCCTGTCCGTTAGACCCGTCCATCCTGTCCGTTAGACCCTCCTAACGCCATCCTGTCCGTTAGACCCGTCCTAACGCCATCCTGTCCGTTAGACCCGTCCATCCTGTCCGTTAGACCCGTCCATCCTGTCCGTTAGACCCGTCCTAAGGCCATCCTGTCCGTTAGACCCGTCCTAAGGCCATCCTGTCCGTTAGACCCGTCCTAAGGCCATCCTGTCCGTTAGACCCGTCCATCCTGTCCGTTAGACCCGTCCATCCTGTCCGTTAGACCCGTCCTAAGGCCATCCTGTCCGTTAGACCCGTCCTAACGCCATCCTGTCCGTTAGACCCGTCCATCCTGTCCGTTACAACCGTCCTAAGGCCATCCTGTCCGTTAGACCCGTCCATCCTGTCCGTTACAACCGTCCTAAGGCCATCCTGTCCGTTAGACCCGTCCTAAGGCCATCCTGTCCGTCAGACCCGTCCTAAGGCCATCCTGTCCGTTAGACCCGTCCTAAGGCCATCCTGTCCGTCAGACCCGTCCTAAGGCCATCCTGTCCGTTACAACCGTCCTAAGGCCATCCTGTCCGTTAGACCCGTCCTAAGGCCATCCTGTCCGTTAGACCCGTCCTAACGCCATCCTGTCCGTTAGACCCTCCTAACGCCATCCTGTCCGTTAGACCCGTCCTAAGGCCATCCTGTCCGTTAGACCCGTCCATCCTGTCCTTTAGACCCGTCCTAAGGCCATCCTGTCCGTTAGACCCGTCCTAAGGCCATCCTGTCCGTTACAACCGTCCTAAGGCCATCCTGTCCGTTAGACCCTCCTAACGCCATCCTGTCCGTTAGACCCGTCCTAAGGCCATCCTGTCCGTTAGACCCGTCCTAAGGCCATCCTGTCCGTTAGACCCTCCTAACGCCATCCTGTCCGTTAGACCCGTCCTAACGCCATCCTGTCCGTTAGACCCGTCCATCCTGTCCTTTAGACCCGTCCTAAGGCCATCCTGTCCGTTAGACCCGTCCTAAGGCCATCCTGTCCGTTAGACCCGTCCATCCTGTCCGTTAGACCCGTCCATCCTGTCCGTTAGACCCGTCCTAGAGCTATCCTGTCTGCTGGGCCTGGCAGGGCTCACTGCCACCCAGAACGGCCCTCAGGCTCACTGGACACCCAGTGCCGTGTGTGTGTGTGTGTGTGTGTGTGTGTGTGTGTGTGTGAGTGTGAGAGTGTGTGTGTGTGTGAGTGTGAGAGTGTGTGTGTGTTAGTGTGAGTGTGTGTATGTTAGTGTGTGTGTGTGTGAGTGTGTGTGAGAGAGTGTGTGTTAGTGTGAGTGTGTGTGTGTGTGTGTTAGTGTGAGTGTGTGTGTGTGTGTGTGAGTGTGTGTGTTAGTGTGAGTGTGTGTGTGTGAGTGTGTGTATGTGTGAGTGTGTGTGTGTGTGTTAGTGTGAGTGTGTGTGAGTGTGTGTGTGTGTGAGTGTGTGTGTGTGTTAGTGTGAGTGTGTGTGTGTGTGTTAGTGAGTGTGTGTTAGTGAGTGTGTGTGTGTTAGTGAGTGTGTGTGTGTGTGAATGTGTGAGTGAGTGTGTGTTAGTGAGTTTGTGTGTGTGTGAGTGTGTGTGTGTGTGTGTGTGTGTGTGTGAGTGTGTGAATGTGTGTGTGAGTGTGTGAATGAGTGTGTGTGTGAGTGTGTGTGAGTGTGTGTTCCTCCGGCCACACTGTGAGTTCCTGCCATCCCTGGGCGTTGACAAGCCCAGATCTGACACAGGATGGGGGACACAACAGCAGCAGATTCTTCCTCCCGGCCTGGCTGACCCTCGGTTCAGACAGATCCCCTCTCACCGCTGGCGACCCTGTGGCTCAGGACTTCCAGCCACACATGGGTTTCTCCGGCTGCCTGGCCGCCCAGCCTGCCACACCGGCCCCGCTAATTCATTTCCTTCGCCTTCCCTGGTGCCCGGCCCCAAATACAGCGCCAAGACTGTCACCGAAGTCCTGACAGACGCCCCAGCTGGTTGGCTTAGTGAGCAGAGCACCTGCCTGCGGCCTGAGGGGTCCCAGGCCCGGTGTGGGCTCCATCCCAGAGGGGGGCGTGCAGGAGGCAGCGATCCTGATTCTCATCATTGATGTTTCTCTCTCCATCTCCCTTCCTCTCTGGAGTCAATAATAAAAAATAAATAAAAAATAAAAGATGATGCCAGTCCACGTGCGGGACCCCTGCCAGGCTCGACAGGGGCCGGACACGCCCGCGCTGCCAGCGGTGAGGTTCAGACCCCACCAGGGTGCGGGCTCTGCTGGCAAACCTCCGGCCCCGCGCCCTGTCCCCGCCCGGACTGGGGGGGCTCCCCGCTCCCCGATCCCCACACCCCGCTCCCCGCTCCCGGATCCCCGTTCCCCGCGCCCCGATCCCCGCACCCCGCTCCCCGCTCCCGGATCCCCGCTCCCCGCGCCCGGATTTCCGCGCCCCGCTCCCCGCTCCCGGATCCCCGCTCCCCGCTCCCGGATCCCCGCTCCCCGCTCCCCGTTCCCCGCGCCCCGCTCCCCGCGCCCCGCTCCCCGCTCCCCGCGCCCCGCTCCCCGCTCCCGGATCCCCGCTCCCCGCTCCCCGCGCCCCGATCCCCTTTCCCGCGCCCCGATCCCCGCTTCCCTTTCCCGCGCCCCGTTCCCCGACCCCCGCGCCCCGCTCCCCGTTCCCGCGCCCCGCTCCCCGCTCCCGGATCCCCACACCCCGCTCCCCGCTCCCGGATCCCCGCTCCCCGCTCCCCGCTCCCCGTTCCCCGCGCCCCGCTCCCCTTTCCCGCGCCCCGATCCCCGCTCCCCTTTCCCGCGCCCCGATCCCCGCTCCCCGTTCCCGCGCCCCGCTCCCCGCTCCCGGATCCCCGCGCCCCGCTCCCCGCTCCCATCTCCCCGCTCCCCGTTCCCGCTCCCCGTTCCCGCGCCCCGTTCCCGCGCCCCGCGCCCCGCACCCTGCGCCCTCGGCCCCCGCGGACGCCTCACCTGCCAGGGCCGCGCGGCGGGGGAGAAGGGGGCCCCCGGGGCCGGTCCGCAGGGCAGGGACACCCGTGCCCCCGCGCCCCCCGCGCTCCCGCCGCCGCCTCGGGGCGCATGGTGCCCGGTCCCCGCGCCCCCGGCCGCCGCCACCGGGTCACTGCGAGCTCCGGGCTCCGGGAGGCGCCGGCTTAACCCGGGGAGGGACCCCGGAGCGGGGAGGGGACCCGGGGGGCGGGGAGGGACCCCGGGGGGCGGGGGAGGGACCCCGGAGCGGGGAGGGGACCCGGGGGGCGGGGAGGGACCCCGGAGCGGGGAGGGGACCCGGGGGGCGGGGAGGGACCCCGGGGGGCGGGGAGGGGACCCGGGGGGCGGGGAGGGAACCCGGGGGGCGGGGAGGGACCCCGGAGCGGGGAGGGGGCCCGGGGGGCGGGGAGGGACCCCGGGGGGCGGGGAGGGGACCCGGGGGGAGGGGAGGGACCCCGGGGCGGGGAGGGACCCCCGGGCGGGGAGGGATCCCCGGGCGGGGAGGGACCCCCGGGCGGGCCGGGACCCGGGTCCCTGGGGGGCAGGGAGGGGACCCTGGGCGGGGAGGGGAGGGAAGGGCGCGGGGGGCGCAGGGGCGCCGGCGGGGAGGGGCCGGGGGGGGCGGGGGCAAGGGGAGGGGGAGGGGAGAAAGAAGCCCGGAGGCGCCGGGCGGGGAGGGGCGGCGGGAATTGACCAGGCAGCGGGGAGGCGCGTGGGGGCGAGACCGGGGCGCCCCCGCCGGGTGAGGGGGTGCTGGCCGGGGCCCCCCGCCGGGTGAGGGGCTGCTGGCCGGGCCCCCCCGCCGGGTGAGGGGGTGCTGGCCGGGGCCCCCCGCCGGGTGAGGGGCTGCTGGCCGGGGCCCCCCGCCGGGCTGGGAGAGGAGGGTTTGCAGCGAAGGAGGTACCACACCTGACCATGTGCCTGAGAAGCGGCCACTTCTTTATTCTCGTTGATTTCAGAGAGAAGGCACAGGGAGCGAGAGACACAGCGGAACCTGAAACCCCGCCATGCGCCCTCGGCGGGAGTCGAACCTGGGACCCTGCAGTCCGCAAGCGGACACTCTGTCCCCTGAGCCAAACCAGCAAAATGGCCACTTCTTGAGCCGGGAACTCTACTTCCCTGACTGTCTGTCCGGAAGATGGTGGCCCAAAGGTGCATTTTGAAATGGGAACAAGATGTATTTAATAGAGAGGTGTTCGTGGTGGTGTCATTGATAATGCTGAAAAATTCATCCGAATATGGCAGTGATGAAGTCAACAGTGGTGGAGTATCATGCAGCTAACACACACGTTTACCGAGTTGAAAAGCCTGGGGAAATAGACGTGGTATAATGTTAAAAGCACAAAAATGTATGAGGATCCGAAATGTATAGAGAGGATGCACAGGCCAAAACGAATGACCACCGAGTCCTGGGATCACGAAGGATTTAAAGAGAAAAACAAAAGTTTTCTAAATGTTCAACAAGAAGAATATATTTGTTTTTATGGTGGTATTATAGACAGAACATGAAAGTGACCATTTTCAAATACAACGTATATTATATGTATATTACGTATCCCTGCATGGCCACCAGCCATTTCTAGAACCTTTGGAACTCCACCCCCACAAAGCACTAACCCCCCCTGCAAACAGCTTCCTTTCTGCCTCCAGGACCGGCCCATTCCCGGGCTTCGGGCTTGGTTACCTGGAGCCACCTGTCCGGTGGTGGACCCCGATGATGACTGTAAACAGCCCCCGGAGCCCTCCCTCAGCCCTGGGGCACACGTGACCTTCATTTCACAGACTAAAACCCCGGGGCCCAGAAACGTCCTCTGCCCAGACAGCCAGCGCGGGTGCCCCTGTGGGTTTGGGAAACTGGACGCCGCCCAAAATATGTAAAGGAGGACCGAACACAACCCAGCGCCTGCCGCTCCTTTCTGTGCTTTTGTTTTCCTCTGCCCAGTACCTGTGAGCAACAAAATAAAGCAGCGTGGGATCGTAACCCCACTGCAAAGGCCAGCGAGCTCAGCCTGGCATCGTACACACTGAGGAGATGGATAGACATCGGCACACACTGAGGAGACGGATAGACATTGGTACACACTGCGGAGATGGATAGACAGGAGAAGAGTTCCAAATGCTTCAGGTGGCGACTCTGTGCTCAGGGACGCGCAGTCCAGCTCCACAAGCCGTCACTACCATCGTCAGCTGTGCGTGTGTCTGGTGGAAATGGATTTAATGAAAATGACACTCATCGGTAACACAGACCAAGAGCATTGTGGTGTGTGTGTGTGTGTGTGTGTGTGTGTGTGTGTGTGTGTTTCCGGAGTCCTTTCTGTGATTAGAATAATTAAAACACAGTAAAAGAAATACACGACTGTTGAGATAGTTGGGATTGTGCTATGATTATTACTTTTTAAATTTAAACTTTCTGGGGCCCAAGGAAGCATTTGATGAGAGGAAGGGACTTGGCAAAGGGCACAGAGATCTGGGGGAGCTTTTCCTCTGTCCAGTGCCTGATAAACTGGGGAGACCCGGATCTCCCCGGGAGTGAGTGCCTGCCTGGGAGGCGATGTGGGAAACAGACCAGGTAGAGGCCCTATTTCTTGCTCTGCTCCTTTAATTGAAAACCCTCTTTCTGATGCTGACTGTCCGTCAGTGGTCAGTGCCGGGGAACAAAGAGGGGAGATGTTAACTTCAGGGTTTCCGGCTGGCCCAGGAGGAGGACACCGACAGTCAAAACATCTCAGAGGGGGGATCTTTTTACATAAACAGCGCTGAGGACCAGCGCCAGGACGGCTTCCTCTGCTTCCTGTTCCCGCCACGGAGGTTAGACGTGCAAAACCGCAGCCTGGCCAGGGCCACCCCCCCCCCCCCAAACCTGTGGGGATCCCTTCCTCACCTCACCCCAGCTGCGGTGGTTTGCTACCTCACTCCAGGCTTCTTTTAAAACATATTTTTATTGATTTTAGAGAGGAAGGGAGAGAGAGATAGAAACATCAATGATGAGAGAATCATTGATGGGCTGCCTCTTGCATGCCCCCCCCCCCCCACTGGAATGGAGCCCACAACTGGGGCCTGTGCCCTGACTAGAATCGAACTGTGATCTCCTGGTTCATAGGTCAACGCTCAATCACTGAGCCAGACCACACAGCCTTCTTATAAAGACACCAGCCAGCCAAGACCGGTTTGACCCAATGGATAGAGCATCGGCTTGGGGACTGAAGGGTCCCGGGTTCGATTCCGGTCAAGGGCATGTACCTTGGTTGTGGGCACATCCCCAGTAGGGGGTGTGCAAGCGGCAGCTGATCGATGACTCTCTCAGTGATATTTCTAACTCTCTATCTCTCTCCTTTCCTCTCTGTACAAAATCAATAAAATGTATTTTTTTAAAAGACACCAGCCATATGGATTAGGCCTACCGTTTCCTGGGTGACCTCATCTTAACCAACTACATCTGCAACCACCCCACTTCCGGATAAGCTCACCTTGTCAGGTGCTGAGGGTAACGACTTCAAAATACCTTTTTGGGGGGTTCATTTAACCCCTAACATCAGCCTAAACCTTTTCTGCTCGCTGTAGGTGGGAGACAATATTAGGGCCCTTTCATTCAATAGGTCATCCTCAGTTCAGAAACCAGCACGTTCCATCCTAATTATGAGTCAGTCCTCAGCCCCCAACCAGGGCAGCTCCATCGGGAGTGGCAGCTGCTGCCGGCGGGCAGGAAGGGGTGTGGTCGGAGGGCTCTGCTCCCTGCTGACCTCCCTGTGCCCTGCCCCTTGGCCTCTGTCCTTCCCCACCAGCTTGGTCTCCACCCTGAGCGGGAGGGTGGGAGGAGGGACGGTCTGGCCCCTCTCAGGGCTAACCATGGAGTCCTTTCCTTCTCATGGGTGTTTCAGGAGTTTCCTTGGAGAGTTCCGCCATGAAGTCTTCTTGTCTGCAGATCTCCTGGTTCTGGCAAATGCAACTTGATTTGGGGAATTAAGTTGCAATGTCTTCAGGCTAGAAAGCTGGCCTCCTCCCGCTGTCCCAGGCAGCCCTTAGGGACAGCGTCCTCCATCCTCGGGGACCCACTGCCAGCTCCCGCCCCTCCCCCCTGGCCCACAGCTCATCCAGGGCCTCTCCTGGCCACCAAGCGGCTGGCCAGCCTCTTCTTTCTCTGGATTCCCTAGCCCAGTGGTCAGCAAGCTCATCGGTCCACAGAGCCAAATATCATCGGTCCACAGAGCCAAATATCAACAGCACAACGATTGACATTTCTTTGGAGAGCCTCATTTTTTAAAGTTAAACTTCTTCTAACGCCACTTCTTCAAAACAGACTCGCCCAGGCCGTTGGGATTTTGTGGAAGAGCCACACTCAAGGGGCCAAAGAAGGCATGCGGCTCTCGACCCGCAGTTTGCTGACCACAGGGCTAGGTGATGGCAGACACACACGCACAGGGTTCCCGACGGCAGGGACAATCCCCATGAGCTCTCCGAGCTGCTTCTGGGGCATGGAGGGACCGGAGGTGAGACCAAACACGCAGCAAGACCAGGGCTCCCCCCAGAGAAATCTCACCCCGTTCTCTCCTCACTCTGGCCCCTGCGGTTCCTCACTCTAATTGAGGTCAACATCACTTCATGTGCAGTTGGGCAAGGGGGGGGGAGAGGACTGGGGAGCGGGGAGGGGGACAGGGCCTTCCTCTGGCAGGTGGGGTTTTCCTCACATTTCTTTGTATCTGTTATGCACATATCATCACAGAACATCACGATTCCCATTCCAGCCAAAACCAGTTTGGCTCAGTGGATAGAGCGTTGGTCTGCGGACTCAAGGGTCCCAGGTTCGATTCCAGTCAAGGGCATGTACATTGGTTGCGGGCACATCCCCGGTGAGGGGTGTGCAGGAGGCAGCTGGTTGATGTATCTCTCTCATTGATGTTTCTAACTCTCTATCCCTCTCCCTTCCTCTCTGTGAAAAATCAATAAAATATATTATAAAAAAAAAAAAAAAGATTCCCATTCCAGTATTATCTTCCTACCTGCCAGCACACCGGCCATAGATATAACAACAGAGCGGTTATTTACAAATTCTCTCCACCTTCTAAAGGCGGGTCCTACAAATTGAAGGACCTTT